CGCGCCACCATTCGCACACGAGGTCCCTCCTTCACGGAGCCCACAATAACCCCGAGCTCCTTGTCGGCGTCAAGGAGGTCTGCGCGGTGCTCTGTTGACCCAATGACGTGGCATGAGAGGGCAAAAATGCCCTTTTTGGCGCCCAGCCGAATAAATTCAGTGATGGCTCAAGCAGCATATCCTCCTCCAGCTGCAGAGCCGTACATGAGTTGTCGCTTTGGTGACGAACGCACGCCGTAGCTGAAGGCCACCATGTTCTTGCGTTCCTGAGTAAAGTTGGGGGTGGCAGTGGCACACAATTTTCGGAAGAGTGTACTTGCGTCCGGCACGTCCAACGCCACATCGACGTCAAACAAGACCTCAGCAACCGCAAATCCGGCATCCCTCAGGGGCTGGGGGCAATTGAACTGCACCGTGTTGCCGTCCACCCGCACTGTCGCGGGGAGCTGCAAGGACGGCGTCGTGGTTTGGTGGGAGCAGAAACGGCTTTCGCCTCCATTGGAAGAATATCACATTGAATGCTGCGCTGTGCGTTTGTTGCATGCACAGACAGGAAGGGTCAAAGAAAGAAAAGAGGAGAGAGAGAGGGAAACAACACTGAATAATCTTCCGGGCCACTGACCGGATCGTGAAATTACCCAAAAAGGACAGGAAAAAAAAGGCGGTAAATGGAGAGGTAGTGAGTTCTCCGTAATGTTTGCCCCAAAATGCATACACATTCTGCTAATCACTGCCGTGGAATTCTGCACATCGTTAGAATTGGAAACAATTATCCCCCGCGAAGCAGCAGGCCTTTGGGCTCCTCCAGCCAAAAGAAAACGCCGCAAGTTGGGGATCACAAAGTGGGTGGGTGGGAAGACAAAAATAAAAATAAAAAATAAAAATAATAATTTCGTCTGGCAGCTGCCGGCTCCCTGAATCCCTCAATCGCGGTCTCCCAAAAGACAGTGCGGTAGAAGAGGAAAAAGTTGTGAAGAGATATCTTCGTTTGCGCGAGATATGAATTTATTTGGGCAGCCATCCATCCTCGCAGGCGTTCTTTTCACAAAATCCCCAAAGTACAGAGAAATTCTGCGGCCTTCATATTTCACAGAAGCTTCTAATGGCAATGGAGTATTTAAGAAAAAAAAAAAGTAAAATAAAAGAATTTTATTGCTGTGGCACTGTGGATCAAAATGATTCTCTCTCACAAGAAACTCTCTGAATAAACCCGGTGGCCACAAAAAAAAAAATTTAAGAATCGCTAAAATATTTCCTAATATATTTCACCAGAACGAAATGCGCCTTTTCCCCCAATTATTTCCCCAACTTTCTTCCCTATCCTTTTCCTCCAAGATTATTGTACTCCCTTTTCTCGGATTTTATTTACAAAATCAGTTGTCAACACAAACTGGTATTGGTGTACCTTTCCGTCCCAGAACGCCACAATTTCTTTTTCAGCGTCGCTCAAATTATTGGTATTGACGGGACCACATCTCTGCCAGACACTCATCGGCGTGCTTTTTGCATTTTGTATATAAATCATCTCCCACGACATGTCTTGGGATAATTCCTCCCAGCCATTAAAATATGTCGCCATATCATCTTTGAACAGCCTCACGGTGCTGGGTATGGTGTGATGTGCACTCGCCGTCGTCATCTGCAGCCCAACCAGCGTCTTCCGCGGCGAATCAGCAAAGAAAAAGCCGTCCACCAGCGGAAAGTTTTCAACCTTCGGTATGTACAGCACCCCGTACTCCATCGGAATCCTCGTGACACCGCCTTCCATCGACGGTAATCCAACGGTGCGAGTGGGGTACCCTTGATGGTTTATTTTCAGCACCGAATCCTGTGCTTCACGTTCTGGTGGCCTCAAGCTCCTTGAGTTCCTTTACTAGTGCACTGACAAACTCCCCATACATGAAGGCGCGCAAACCTAATTTTTCCACATATTTGGAAGCAAGAGCACCATGCGATCCCAATATTAGCAACAAAATATCCTTCGCACCCATTTCCTTTTCCAAACGCTCCGCGGTTCGAAACTCGATATCAGCACATATCGGTGCGTTGAGAAATCCCTCAGCACCTTTTTCTGTTCTTACCCGGACGATCTTCACAAGTTTTTGGGACGGATCCTTGGAATACCATTTTTTCTCTCCTCCCAGGGTAAAGTGCTCTTCAACATCCCTAGGTTTGATCGCTAACAAAGCATCATGAACGGCACCCATGCGAACAATGAAATTATTCGCATCAAAGATGTAACGTAGAATCGGCCCCAAGTTATCCATGTGTTCTTTGACCTCTTTCCAGTACCCCGCTTGATCATCTGCAGTCCCGTCACGCTTCATCCATGCACACATCGCCTTCACATCCATCACGTCAGGGCAATTCATGATGATTCGCGCGGCTTTTAGTTGATTCTCCCACTCATCATAGTTGGTTACCTTTGGCGATGACAACACAATCATGCCCCATCCATTACAGGGCGCAAACTCTTTGTCGGGCGGTGTTCCTTTCTTTGCCACATCGTAAATAATATACCCTTTCATCCCACTCTTCCACAAACTCGAGATAACACTGATGGATATTTTATTACCCATGTATTTTGTCACGGTTTTGTTGATCTTGTGAAACACGTACGTCATTTTTCCAAAACAGTGGACAACCACTTGGAGTTTCTCGACATCGTAGTGCAGCAGCTGGTAGAGGAGGTACGAGCCGGCATTCATCGACTTCCCAATCCCGGGCGTCCCAATCAACACACGCGGCATAGGTGAAGGATTGAGAGTCAAACGAAAATTGCTGAACCACTTGGTTAGATCGCCCTTCACGATCTGCCACACTCGTTCCACCTCACAGTTAACACACAAGTCATTACCAGCCTCATGCATCGTATTCAGCGTGTACGGCCATCCCTTGTCCGAGGTGAGCACCATCAACACGGGAGGTGCTTCACCGGATTTCTGCACACCGTTATTCCTTTCGAGGGTGTCACCAACTTCCCTGTACGACCATGACTGTTTCGGTTTCCCCTTCTCCACCTTCATCCCCATTCCGTTGTCGTCAGGAACTTCCACGACATGGCTCCACCTCGCATTGTACACAGACCCGTACAATCCCTCCAGTTTCTCCGGTGCGATCGTCGTCGTTGGATCCCTCAATTCCACGAGGGCTGCATCCAAGGATTGTTTAGTGAAGTTATGAACAGTTGCTTTTACCTCCGCAGCAGCTTCTGACCACCCAATTAGATTCTTGACACCTTTATCGCGAAGCTTACTTTGATCGTTTTCAAACATTATTTCAACCCTTACCGCCCTCTCCATCCTCGCATAAGCATCGGATGCCTGTATTTCTTTCAGTACTCCCGCATCGTGGATATACTTCGTGGGATCCTCAAAAAACTCCTTCAGTAAGACATCCCGATTGGTGTCCACAATGCCCCTGCCGTCCAATTCCATCGTAAGAAAATCATTCAACCTCATTTTATCCACGCGAACCCCTCCTTTAAACAGCACATCTTCGATCGTAGTAAAATTGGTAAATTCCATTTCTTCTTCCTCACGCCTTTTTCTTTTTTCTTCCTCACGCCTTTTTCTTTCTTCTTCCTCACGCCTTTTTCTTTCTTCTTCCTCACGCCTTTTTCTTTCTTCTGCCTCACGCCTTTTTCTTTCTTCTGCCTCACGCCTTTTTCTTTTTTCTTCCTTACGCCTTTTTCTTTCTTCTGCCTCACGCCTTTTTCTTTCTTCTTCCTCACGCCTTTCTTCTCTCTGTACCTGCGTGAGTACTCCGTTTAGCGTTCCACATACAAATGGAGTGACCGTATCCTTTCCTTCATAGTCCCTCCATTGCTCGAGAAAGACCACACCCTCGTGATTAAGTTTATAAATAGCCTCCAATAATATTTTCCTTTTCTCCAGCTCTATTTTCAGCGTTTGGTACGCAGTTAAGTTAACAATTCTTCTAAGAAGCTGCTGGTCTTGTACGTAAGCATCCGGCTCCTGAACAAACGCCTCCATCGTCACATTGTAGTTTTCACCAACAGCCGCCGTGCCGCCCAATTTGCTCCGAAGGAATTCATTCAGCTTCATGTCGGTCCTGTTAGTGCTTCCCTCCAGCAGAATATCCTCCACTCTGCTGCTCATGGTCCACTGCGGTCGATGCATTTCCTCCAATCTTCTGCGACTCACAGAGGAGTAATCTGTGTCACTCTCAAATTCCGACCTCGCTCTCCTCCGACCTCCCTGCGAGACATTGGACGATTGACTCTCCAAATTGCCGTAAAGTCCTTCCTCGGGCCTTCCAGACATCGTTTCTCCTTGCTTTCTTAGTTGGATTGAGTTAGATCTAAACAATAGCCACCAAACAAAAAAGGGGAATGAGAAAAAGAAAGACAATAGGCACAATCATGAATCGAAGCCACAACAAGAGACTCATCCACACAGTGTGACGGCACACCAAATGCACGAGGACCACCACAACGACGGCAAGTGGGTGCCATCCACCCAGCACAGTGTTGGTGAGAGCAAACGATAACAACAAAGTGGTGCGCACGGAGGGTTCGCCCACGCATTCCGCTCGCCACGGTCCCGCACCCCTGTGGCACCGCCGACACCGCACACACTCCACAAGAATAGATGCGCGCGTGCATATCGGCCTTAACAAACACACACAGAAGCAAGTGGGAAGAGAATTCGGTAAGGCAGCGGACACATGCAGGGAGCACAAATCATACACGCCACAACAGCGATGCATCACGGTAATCCCCCACACAACAGAAAAGAGTACAATTTGCATGCTTTATGGAAAATATTTGCGGTGTGCATGGCAAAAGAGTGCCGTGACTCTGCCTTTCATATTGCATTCGCCACTCACGTATCACTTGGAAGCACGCAGCCACCACTCCTCCGTTCCGCTCCCCGTGCTGCTCGTGCCGCTTCACTGGAGGAAGTTGTCACCGCACATCCCCATCACCGTGCATTGCGGAACGCAAATCAACCACACGGCATGGGTGCGGTGCCACCCCACCAATAAATCCCAGGAACCTCCCCACTGCCTCTTGTAGCACAGACGGCAGCTTCATTATGCCTGCGGAAGGCTTTTTCCCCAAACAAGAACGCGACTCCACCACACGCCCGTAAAAACGTTTGGTCCGTCGCACGCAAAGGAGTGAAGCGGGAGAACAGCAGGAAAGACAACACCAGCAGCCATGAGCAGCCCGCACACGCCAACACACCGCTGCCCCGCATGTCACCAAAAATAAAAATACCAAAGAAACATGTCACATCCCAACTGCGAATCGCAAGTGCGGTTGCAGCACACACTCCCGCCTCCTGGGCGTGTGCGGCCCCTCGCTGCTCGGCGCTCCAAGTGAAATCACCAAAAGCACCAATTCGGGAACATTCA